TCCCACGTTTACGTTGGCAAGCGGGGCGGTGCTCGAACATCCGGACGCCCGCACTGGATCGGTCCTGGCCGAGTGGTGTTTCACGAGATCCTTCCACATCAACAACCAAGTGACGCCCGAAGGCACATCGTCTGGGTGCTACTGCAGAACCAACTCCTGCGCTGCTCTGTCCACTCCGTGAGACCTACCACGCCCCTGGAAGAGACCCAGTTCGAGATCAGTGCTAAGGAAGACGTCTCCCGGTGGCGTTCCCTCTCCGACATGCTGCCCAACAAGGAGTTCATCGATCTTGCCGACGATGAACCCGGAGTCGATGAACAAGAGCAGCCTGATCTGCCCGATCTCCCCAACAAGGAGACCATCGACATCCCCAAGAGGGATCCGTGTGAAGTCCGCACCATTTCTGGTTTCTCCACGTCCTGCTCATGTACCCTTCATGGCGGACGACCCGGACTACACTCCCGAGTCACAAGATCCCAACAGCTATGAGCCAGACAACAAGAAGCAGCGTACCGACGGCTATGACCTGGGCTGGCTCGAGGAACTACACCAAGTTGAAGGTGATCTCCATCAGCTCCTCATCGACTCCCAGGAGGTGATGAAGATCGAGTTTGACGTTGACCTTAACTCCCACCGTAAGGAGAAGGACTTCCTCCGGGACGCCTCGGCCTTCATGGTCAAGAAGATGAGAGACAGTGAGGTTGTGCTCTCCCGTCTCTCTCCTGAACACAGAGAACTCTTCAGCAGAGCCAAGTCCAAGGAAGTCAGCAGCTTCATCAAATCTGAGGCTGTTCGCAAGGCTCTGGACAACAAGGAGGTCAGCGAGGCCTTCGACTCTGGCCGCATCATGCGAGCCAGATGGGTTCTCACCTGGAAACCAACACCTCCAGAAGATCTTCAAGAAGCTCAAGCCGAGGCGAAATCCAACGCCAAGTCCACCTACACCAAGGACGGTCAACGCAAGGCAAAAGCACGCATTGTGCTTCTCGGCTACGAACATCCGGACCTTCTTCGGCCTGAGTTCAAGACCTCTAGCCCTGTGCAGTCTGGGCTGGGAAGAAACCTCCTGTACACCATGGCCTGCACTCACGGCTGGGAACTTGAAGGTCTCGATTTGGCCACTGCATTCTTGCAGACGCAGCCCACAGAGGCGGATCAAGATCTGTGGACTCGCGGTGTATCAGAGCTTCGTGAAGCCCTGGATGTTCCAGCAGACGGAGTCATGAAGATCCTCAAGAACATCTACGGCTCAACGACCGCACCAAGGGGACTCTGGCTGGACCTTCACCGGCGCCTGGCCTCCATTGGCGGCAAACCACTCATTGGTGAACGCTGCATCTGGATCTGGCAGTCAGCCACGGAGAAGGACGCCTTCGGCATCCCCCTGGTACTTGGCATCATGGGCGGCCACGTGGATGATTTCCATCGCTGTGGCAATCGCCTCTCGCCTGAGTGGGTTCAGGTCTGCTCCCAGATCGACAAGCTCTACGAGTGGGGCACTGCCAAACGTGGCAACTACCGGCACGCCGGAACCGACCTGACCTCCATCATCAACAAGGACGGCTCCGTGGAGGTAAAGATCAATCAGCAGTACTACATCGACTCCATCGCCGATGTGAACATTGATCCCGATCGCCTTCGTCAAGAGAATGCGGTCATGAATCCTGAGGAGGTAGCTGCCTGCCGCACTACCTGGGGCAGTCTTCAATGGTTGGCCTTGCAGACTCAGCCGCAGCTCTGTGCCAGGTGCAACCTACTTGCATCTGAAATCACGACCAAGCGCCTCATGCAATCGGCGCTGGAACTTCAACAGCTAGTCGGCGAGATTCGCAAGCACGCCTACCAGCTGCACTACAAGAAACCACCTGGAGTCGAGTCATGGCGAGACATGGTGTTTGTGACCTTCTGCGACCAAGCCCACGCGAACCGCAGCAAGATGGACTCCACCGGCGGCTTGATCTCAGTTGCTACTGGACCTCACGCAAGCGAGGGCAAGGTCACATACATGGCACCCCTGGCATGGCGAAGCTGGAAGCTGCGCCGCAAGGCCATATCCTCAAATGATGCTGAAGTCCAGGCAATCCTGGATGGCGAGGACCAGAACTTCCGCATCCGCGTGCTCTGGTGCGAAATGAATGGAGCCGGTCACGATCGCACCCCCCACGAAGACAGGGTGGAATGGGCTGAACGCATGGCCCGCGGCATCAAAGGCATTCTGGCCACCGACAGCAAGGGCGGCTACGATGCGGTGATCTACAACGAGTCACCAATGCTTGGGTTGAGCAACGCAAGAGCCGCGCTTCAAGCTCTTCAACTTCGGGAGCATCTCACCCGAACCGGAGCTGAACTTCGTTGGGTGGCCAGCGACTATGATCTCGGCGACGCCTTGACCAAGAAGAAAGCTGAGTGTCGCCTGGGTCTCACCAAGTTTCTTCAAACAGGCCTGTGGAGTGTTGCATATGACAACACCTTCACTTCAGCTCGCAAGAGCCACGGCCAAGGGCGTTCTGCCATCAAGGACGTGACGGCACACCAGCAACGGGATCAGCAGTTGAGAAAGGTTTTTGGCCCATGCGATTCCTTCGGTTGTGACATGTCAACTGTTGATCCACTGCTGCCACCATGGCCCTAGACAGAGGGGCCCCTTTGTCCGCTCGACACCGAGCCACGGTTGCGACCGCGCCATTGGGCGCGTGGACATTCGATCTCAGCGCAAAGGTGCGCTTCGGCTGCTGCGAGCCTCCTTGACCCCCGGTCATTGCAGATTCCCCTGAAAACCAACTGAAGGGCCTTTACCATGGTGCCACTTGCTGGGTGGATGGCACCACTGACATGGTCCTCCCAAAAAGGTTTGAAGTTCATGAACTCAGGAAGTGAGACTTGGCTTACAAAGTCCGTTGGACGCCGTGGGGTTCTCACGGGGCGCACCGCCAAGTCAGAAGCTCCGCCCGGTCTTCGAACTCGGCCTGGCGGAAGGCCCCCTCGGCTTCCGAAGCAGCCAGGAACAAAAGGGAAAATCAACCAACCAAGCAACACAAAACGAACAAACAAACAAGCAGACAGACAAACGGAAGGAAAGAAAGAAAGAAAGATAGATAGAAGACAAAAAAGAAACAAGAAATACAGATATCAGAAGACAGCCCCAAAAAAGCAACAATGAAAAATGCAAACCCTTTCAAAACCAGACAATTCAAGTGCCTTCTTGAGGTCGGCATCGTCTTCTTCGAGACGTGCCTCCTCGGCAGTATGAATTGGGCCTATCGCCAGCCTCCGCGGCCGCAGCACGTCGCGCGCTCCTCGGCCTTCTCTGTGTCGACGTGCTTGGCAAACGGCTTGCGACAGCCAGGGGTGGTTTTTTGGTTCTGCCAGCGCACCCTTGCATCCTGGCGTCTCTTTGGAGCGGATGATAGACGCGCGGCTTTCCCGAGGTGCGAGTTGGCGGAGCGGTTTGGCCAAAGGCCACGAAGCCCATGGCGTCTTATCAGCTGCGCAACAGGGAAGCAAGGAACTCGTGCTTCTGCTTCTGGGATTTGAACTCTTGGTTGTCAAGAACTCTGACCACTCCGTCGATCCTCCAGAGGCGGGTGCTGGATCTAGAGCGCCGGTTCTCGAATACGCTTGCTCAAGCCCTTTTTGCTTTTTGCGGCAATGTCCAAGACCGTCGACTTTTGATTTTGTAAGGCTCCCCGCTGAGTTGTCGCCTTGTCGAACGTCGAGGGTCTGTCAAACGACATGGAGAGGCATTGGGAGGAGTAGGACTGCAGGGATCATAGGGTAGTCCGCTTTGGAGCTGGACAGATCCACGCAACCCTTTCGAACTCGGAGCGATGGGGCCATAGATTGGCAGCAAGGTTTCGGCGTCAAGCCGTTCACCCGCTTCATCCATCTTGATGAGGCATGTGTGCGACCCGCGCGCCAAAGAAGACACTGCACCATCCCACGACCAACTCGCCTAGCACCGCCTCCAGCGGCAACGCCCGTGTGGCCCCGGCACCCACCGCACCTCCGCCACTCGGCCTCGGTCCTCCGCCGGCCCCCCGTGTGGCTCGCCCCAGGGTTTTCTCTTCCCGGGAATCACCCAGGACATGGCGTAAGCAGCGGCACTCAAGCGCGGCGATCAATCAACAAGCAGAACAAAACAGAACAACAAAACAACAAAACTATTCTGTCATCAACAGGGTCTGCTAAAGACCCCTTCCCGCTAAAGACGGCCTCGCCACAGGGGAGCGACCGGCCTCATGCGCTGTGTCCGTCCGCTCCTTCTTCGGCTCGTGACCTCTGCCGGACCCCGTCAGTGTGTGTGGGCTATGTGAGTATGTGAGCCACAGTGAAAACTACTTGCTGTTCCCCGCCCACAAAAAGTGCTCATTTGTGTGTATGTTAACATATATGTATGTTTATATTTATGTATGTATCTATATATTCTTGGGGGGGAGTTGGTGAGAGATGAGGGACTTCCATGCCCCTCCAAAAACATAGGCTGGCAATTTTGGCTGAACGTCATGACACGAAGGGAACTTCTGAAACTTCCAGCCACCTAGCCGAGGGCTGGTTGCGTGTCCTTGGCTGAGCCCCCCCACGCGCGGAATCTCTACCAAGGTCTGGCCACGTCAGAGTGGGGCCTGCCACGCCCAATGCACACCGGGTTCCTATCAGCCAGCAGGTGTGGAGCAAGATAGGCATGAACAAGATCATCTGCAACCCCTTTTGCGATGAAGCGGGCTAGCATTCCAGCCCCAGAACTAATCACTCTCAAGAGGACTTCCTCGGCATATCACATAACATGGCCTCTAGACTGCCCAAAATTGTACAATGGCCTAAAGGTGCATACAGGCCTCACAGTGACTCCACAAAGTCAGCTAGTAAAACTACCTAGAAAAAGCCACCATTGAATGTCGGGGCTGTCCCATGTTGAGGGAGCCCATCAGGTTGCGCTGAAATCCGGTGTCGGCAGTGTGACGAGGCATGGGAGCTGGCCCCGCTCGCTTCTTTTTGGCACGCTACTGGCTCTGCTTGCCGCGGAGCCGGACCAGCACCCGCCGCAGCCGCCGTGCACCTCGCAATTCCCCGGCCCGCAAGCCCAGCGCTTGCAGAAGGCTTCAAGCTTCCAGGTTCAGAGCTAACTTCGTCCTTGGTCTCCCCCAAAAAAAGGATCCCTTTTCTATATACGCCCGTACCAGAAGTAGAAAGGATGTGACAAAATGAGACCCCGATATCCTGCAGGAAAGGCCCCCAAACAGATAGAGGCGAGAAGGTGAACACCGAGCCACGGCGTTGAGACGCGCACACTAAGACACCTCCCACACTCAACACACTTATCAATCTGAGCCCTCATTAGTAACTGCGGTACTCGGATCTTGGCTCTTTCTGCAGCGGCTGCTCCTTAGAACCTCTGGATACGACTTCCCGTTTTCGCTGCCCCTGGGTTTCTTCGTGAGGAGGGTTCCCTTGTGCTCGCATCCTCCTTTAAGGAAGTGTGTCCCGATGGTCCCTCCTTTAGAACAACCTCCATGTGTTCTCCCTGGAGTGTGTCCCAAAAAGGGTTATCTCACGCTAATCTCACACAGTCTCAGCTACAGGGGACTTAGCAGGAGTTCATGATTCATAACGATGTTTTTTGGTTGTGAGATTCACTTCACACTGTTCAAACGTTTATGCCAGCTACTTGCCAGATGGGGTTCGGCCCAATCCTCCTATCCGCTGCACCTTAAAACCCTGGAATCTAAACCCTACTGTAACAAGCCCTGATCACTAGACCCTAGACCTCTCATCCCACCCGTTCAGTGGCAGCGGAATATGGTACAATAGCTCAACGTGTGGTGGTTAGGAGTTGTCTCTCCCATGGCTAGAGGCTGGTCTCACCCAAAAATAAGTACCATTCTCCCTTGTTGTCAGTACTGGGTGGGGGCACAACCCAACCTTCCCAGAACAGCTTGGCCCCTGCACAGCCTGCAGATGTTTTCGGGATATCAGTCTTAAGGAAAGAGGTACAGCAACTGTAGTTCAACGATGCGCTTTCGGAGCTCGCCCAGAATACTGTGCCCAAACTGGTGTGTATAGGAGACAATTTTCTTGCATGAACCCAAATGTAGGGACCCATATTATACTGATTCAAGGCAACTATTCAATAGCGTAGGGGAGTTTCTAACAATAATAATTACATAATCATGGTCAACAAATTTGAGCCAAGACGTTGGCTGAGTGAGGTTGCTTCAAGGTGATTGGAGCTCTTGATGTTCTTGACATTTTCTCGCACATTTCCACCCGAGAAAAGCGTCTGCGAACGAACCTCTGGAGCTTCGAAGGCGCTTTCCACTGGCATAGGAGTACAAGCTGAGCTTCCTGCAGCGGGACCCCGGGCAAGCAAGCTGGTCCAATCGCCGGCTAAGGCAGCGGAACATCTTTAGGGCTTCAACTTCAATCGACCAGCCGTGGTGAATCTCGTGCCCCTTACTCCGTGCATGTTGTGTTCTGTGTGTGTGTGTGTGTGCGTGTTGTTCTGTGCTGTGTGTTGTTGTGTGCTGTGTGTTGTGTGCTGTGTGTTGTGTGTTGTGTGCTGTGTGCTGTGTGTTGTGTGTTGTGTGTTGTGTGCTGTCTGTTGTGTGTTGTGTGTTGTGTTGTGTTGTGTGTTGTGTGCTGTGTGTTGTTGTGTGCTGTGTGTTGTGTGCTGTGTGTTGTTGTGTTGTGTTGTGCTGTGTGCTGTGTGCTGTGTGTTGTGTGTTGTGTGCTGTCTGTTGTGTGTTGTGTGTTGTGTGTTGTGTTGTGTGTTGTGTGCTGTGTGTTGTTGTGTGCTGTGTGTTGTGTGCTGTGTGTTGTTGTGTGCTGTGTGCTGTGTGCTGTGTGTTGTGTGTTGTGTGTTGTGTGCTGTCTTGTGTGTGTTGTGTGTTGTGTGTTTTGTTGTGTGTTGTGTGTTGTGTTGTGTGTTGTGTGCTGTGTGTGCTGTGTGTGCTGTGTGTTGTGTGTGTTGTGTTGTGTGCTGTGTGTTGTGTGTTGTGTGTTGTCTTGTGTGTTGTGTGCTGTGTGCTGTGTGCTGTGTGCTGTGTGCTGTGTTGTGTGTTGTGTGTTGTGTTGTGTGTGGTGTGCTGTGTGTTGTGTGTTGTGTGTTGTGTGTTGTGTTGTGTGCTGTGTGTTGTGTGTTGTGTTGTGTGTTGTGTTGTGTGTAGTGTGCTGTGTGTGCTGTGTGTTGTGTGCTGTGTGTTGTGTTGTGTGTTGTGTGCTGTGTGTTGTGTGTTGTGTGTTGTGTTGTGTGCTGTGTGCTGTGTGCTGTGTGTTCTGTGTTGTGTTGGGTGCTGTGTGTTCTGTGTTGTGTGTTGTGTGTTGTGTGTTGTGTGTTGTGTGTTGTGTGTTGTGTGTTGTGCTGTGTGTTGTGTGCTGTGTGTGCTGTGTGTTGTGTGCTGTGTGTTGTGTGTTGTGTGTTGTGTGTTGTGTTGTGTGTTGTGCGCTGTGTGCTGTGTGTTGTGTTCTGTGTTGTGTGTTGTGCTGTGTGTTGTTGTGTGCTGTGTGCTGTGTGCTGTGTGCTGTGTGCTGTGTGCTGTGTGCTGTGTTGTGTGTTGTGTGTTGTGTTGTGTGTGTTGTGCTGTGTGTTGTGTGTTGTGTGTTGTGTGTTGTGTTGTGTGCTGTGTGTTGTGTGTGTTGTGTTGTGTGCTGTGTTGTGTGTAGTGTGCTGTGTGCGCTGTGTGTTGTGTGCTGTGTGTTGTGTTGTGTGTTGTGTGTTGTGTTGTGTGTTGTGTGCTGTGTGATGTGTGTTGTGTTGTGTTGTGTGTTGTGTGTTGTGTGTTGTGTGTTGTGTGTTGTGTTGTGTGCTGTGTGTTGTGTGCTGTGTGTTGTGTGGTGTGCTGTGTGTTGTGTGTTGTGTGTTGTGCTGTGTGTAGTGTGCTGTGTGTGCTGTGTGTTGTGTGCTGTGTGTTGTGTGTTGTGTGTTGTGTGTTGTGTTGTGTGTTGTGTGCTGTGTGCTGTGTGTTGTGTTGTGCTGTGTGCTGTGTGCTGTGTGTTCTGTGTTGTGTTGTGTGCTGTGTGTTGTTGTGTGCTGTGTGTTGTGTGCTGTGTGTTGTGTGCTGTGTGTTGTTGTGTGCTGTGTGCTGTGTGCTGTGTGTTGTGTGTTGTGTGTTGTGTGCTGTCTGTTGTGTGTTGTGTTGTGTGTTGTGTTGTGTGTTGTGTGCTGTGTGTGTGCTGTGTGTTGTGTGCTGTGTGTTGTGTGCTGTGTGTTGTGTGTTGTGTGTTGTCTTGTGTGTTGTGTGCTGTGTGCTGTGTGTTGTGTTGTGTGTTGTGTGTTGTGTTGTGTTGTGTGCTGTGCGCTGTGTGCTGTGTGTTCTGTGTTGTGTTGTGTGCTGTGTGTTGTGTGTTGTGTTGTGTTGTGTGTGTTGTGCTGTGTGCTGTGTGTGCTGTGTGGTGTGTGTTGTGTGCTGTGTGTTGTGTTGTGTGTTGTGTGTTGTGTGTTGAGTGTTGTGTGTTCTGTGTAGTGTTGTGTGTTGCGTGCTGTGTGCTGTGTGTTGTGTTGTGTTGTGTGTTGTGCTGTATGCTGTGTGCTGTGTGTTGTGTTGTGTTGTGTGTTGTGTGTTGTGTGCTGTGTGTTGTGTGTTGTGTGCTGTGTGTTGTGTTGTGTGTTGTGTGTCGTGTGTTGTGTGTTGTGTGTTGTGTGTTGTGTTGTGTGTTGTGTGCTGTATGCTGTGTGCTGTGTTGTGTGGTATGTTTTGTGCTGTGTGCTGGGTGTTGTGTGTTGTGTTGTGTGTTGTGTGTTGTGTGTTGTGTGTTGTGTGTTGTGTGTTGTGTTGTGTTGTGTGTTGTGTGTTGTGCGCTGTGTGTTGTGTGCCGTGTGTTGTGTGTTGTGTTGTGTGTTGTGTGTTGTGTGTTGTGTTTTGTGTGTTTTGTTGTGTGTTGTGTGCTGTGTGTTGCGTGTTGTGTGTTGTGTTGTGCTGTGTGCTGTGTGCTGTGTGTTGTGTGCTGTGTCTTGTGTGTTGTGTTGTGTGTTGTGCGTTGTGTTTTGTTGTGTGTTGTGTGCTGTGTGCTGTGTGTTGTGTGTTGTGTGTGTGTTGTGATGTGTGCTGTGTGCTGTGTGTTGTGTTGTGTGCTGTGTGTTGTGTGTTTTGTGTGTTTTGTGTGTTTTGTGTGTTTTGTGTGTTGTGTGTGGTGTGTGTGTGTTGTTGTGTTGAGTTGAGTTGAGTTGAGTTGAGTTGAGTTGAGTTGAGTTGAGTTGTGTTGTGTTGTGTTGTGTTGTGTTGTGCTGCATTGTGGTGTGCTGTGTTGTGTTGTGTTGTGCTGTATGTGTTGTGTTGTGCTGTGTTGTGGTGTGTTGTGTTCTGTTGTGGTGTGGTGTGGCGTGGCGTGGCGCGGCGTGGCGTGGCGCGGCGTGGCGCGGCGTGTTGTGTTGTGTTGTGTTGTGTGTGTGTGATGGGTGTTTGCGTGCGTGTGTGTGTGTGTTATGTGTTGTGTGTGTGTGATGTGAGTGTTTGCGTATGGTATGTCTTTATTTGGGAGTTAATGTTATTTGCATGTGCTGTGTTATTTTGTGTATGTGTTGCGCGCGTGTGTGTCTATAGTGTGTGTGTGTGTGTGTTGTGGCTTGTGCGGTGTGTTTTTGCACGCTTTCAGTGTGGTGTGTATTTGTGTTTGTGCGTGTGCGGGTTATGTGTGTGTGTGTGGGTTTGTGAGTGTGTGCTTGTGTGGCTTTTGTTTGTTGTGTGTCTGTGTTGCGTTGGTGAATTGTTTGTGTGTGTGTGTATGTGTGTGTGCTTGTGTTTATGTTAGTGTTTATGTTTGCGCTTGTTTGTGCGCGTCTTTGTTTGTGTCTGTTTCTGTGCGTGGTTGTGCTTGCTTGTGTCTCTGGTGTGTGTGTGTGTGCTTTTGGGCGTTCGTGCGTGTGTGTGTGTGTGGGCGCACGTGCGAGTTGCAACCGCGGAGCGAGGGGGGGGAATATAGATTGGCAAGTGTCGAGCACCCCTGCTGGCACAAGAGCCCACGGGGGCAGCACTTTCAAACAAGACCTCTATACCCGCCCTCTCAAGAAAGGAATCCTTACAAAAGAAGGCACCTTCGGACAAAGGCCGGCAGGGCTATTCAGCCGTGCTCCAGTCCTCGCATTTCAAGCCTGTAGCTGGCAGGCGGAGGCTGCTTGTAGCACAGACGAAATCTGCCTGAGCTGGGGGAACTGCATCCCCTGACGCAGAAATGGCGGCGTTGTGACCCATCAACTGAGAGCAGCCAAACAATGAAAAGATGACAAAGGAATGGCTTGGTCAAGATGCAATAAAAGAAAGAGAAAGTGAAAGAGAAAGAAAGATCATCCATTTCATCCTTTCATATCATATCCCCACTTGCCCCTCGTTCATCATCTCTGCACTGCGTTTTCCCTCATCCACTCCCTCGTTCCTCATCCTGGCATGCTTTTGCCAAGCTTTTGATGCTGCGCACATAGCCCCACATAACTCCAGGCAACCACAACATCAGTCCTAAGTGTTCTGCGCTACGCTTCTAGCTTCAGAGCCCAAATCAGAGTTGCATTCTTTGAATGCTTCTGTGTTGGCTGATTTCTGCCGCGGCCTCCGGGCTGCAGCTACAGTGCGGCCTACCGATTGGTGCGCCGAACCCTCTGCGTAGCTTTACATGCCCACAAAAGCTGTACAAGGCCTTGCGGCACTTGGTTCCAGGGCGCCCTCAGGCACGCACATAGAACCCATTGCCATGGCCGATGGGCGGCAGCTTTCGCTGAATGAGACGGAAGCCGTGGCTGGTCAAAAAGGCGTGGAGATCTTGCTCGGTACAGCCACCTGAGTAGTGCTCTTCGGACGAGATCTCGGTCATGATGTAGCGGATCCTGCAACCGCGGGTTGATTTCACCAGCCCGTCTACCCCGAACATCCGAGCTTTTGCCCTTCCCACACCCCAGCTTTCACTAACAGCCGATGGCACAACTCTCACTAGGATTGTTCCCCATATTTTGCGCGCCAGCTGGGCTTAACGTGGCGCCATATCCCCCCAAAACCATCCCGGTTTTCCCATACTTCAGATGGTGAGGTATCCACAGCGCCGAGGCGCTGCGGCAGCACGAGCTGGGTACTGCCCTGGAGCACATCCAGCTCGCTGCCCTGCACGTCGAGGTACAAGAAGTTGTAGTCCGCCGGCTTCAGGCACAGCCGCCGCAGCAGCCCATCCAAGGTCTCCGTCTGCACGTCCTGTTTGTTCACGCATTTGTATATATATATATATACATAATATATGTATGATGTTTATTTGTGTATATATATATGTGTGTGTGTGTATGTGTGTGTGACATATATATATATATATAAAGTATAAGTACAATGTGTATACAAATCAATATATATATATATATAGAAAATATGTGCATATATATGAGGGCCTTCCGTCTCTTTCTCCCCTTGTGCCCGCCGTGTCCCTCCCAAATGGACCATAGACCTCTTGGAAACTCATGCAGAGCCATACAGACTCCATCCCATGACCTGCCTGCGGCTGCTCTTGCTGAATGAACGGAAAGTAGCTCTTGTGGCCATGCCCAAGCGGCTTCAAAGATGACGAGATTGAATTATCCGTCCGGTAGAGCGTCGCCTAGAATGGAGATGTCAGACAATGAAACAAGTTTCCATCTGCAAACAGGCATAGCTTGACCAACGAACGCGGAACGTAACAAGAGGCAAAGAGAACGCATCGCTCCATCTTCCCTGGTCAGTGAAAACAAATACTAGCGCATGCGCTCACGCAAGCACGCCCCGCATGAGCGTGTGCACGCTCAACGACATGTACGAACCCACGCACACAGAGAGGGAGAGAGAGAGAGAGAGAGAGAGAGAGAGAGAGAGACGGCACGCGCAAAGCCTGTGGACGCGGGTGCTCTTCAACACGCAGGCGCCCACGAACACACGCACGAACGGGCGCATACATACGCGCACATGCGCACACAGAAACCCTACCTTCAAAAGAGTTCCTGAACAAATCATCCGAAAGCCGCCCAAATCAGCAGGTGCTCGAGTGATTTACTGGACCGAATGCATCCTACTGAGGCGGCTAAGAACCTGACGATCGATCTTCGGATTCGCCGAGGAGTTGGCTCGGGAGAGAAGCAACCAAGGGAGGAGATGATAGCAACTTTGAAGCAGAACTGAAGCTGTCAGACGAAACTGAAAGATCGCAGATCCAGAAAAGGAGAGGCAACGCCTTGACATATCAAGTTCGAGCCGAAACGCGCGATACAAACATCAAATTGGAGACCAAATCAACGAGAAGAGGTTGCAAGTTGCGAGATGCCCATGCTAACCTTTGTCCTCATCGGGATCCACAAGGCTCACAGAGCCGGAACCACCAGGGTTGTCACGGGAACAGGCGCCCCCACAAGAAGGGTGCACACACACACACAATCTCAAACACGCACGCACACACGAGTATGCACACGCACATACGCGTGCGAACGCGCATTGGCACATGAATCACACTAGCACGCAGAAACAGGCAGGCACCTGCGCACAAACCCACACGCGTTGTGTCACTAATTTTTGTCAAGTTGCCTTGCCCTCCTCACTGGACACTGCAGAGATTGCAATCACATCCTCTTGGCGCTCGTGTTTCCTGCAAACTCCGCACGTAACCCCTCTGCCATGAAGACGCCGTCACCAAACAGGAAAAGCAAGCATGCAGATACAGCAAGATCCAAGATGGGAAAGCCAGCATGGCAATCCTACCATGCTAGGGCTTTGCTTTTCGATTTGAAGCCGGTTTCAAGGTGAAACATCCCAACTTGTTTTGCAAATGATGGCAGTGCACGCGATATTTCCCATGCTGGTGGGTTCCAGGCTGCCTTCACAGGATACCTCGCCGTGGTGCAACCCAGCATTCACAAAACAGCTCCATGCTTTTGCAGGAGTCTCCAAAAAACTGAAGCTATGGCTTCCACTGCCCGGGCAGAATCCACAGCGCTTGCGCTCTGTCGCCCGAATCAAACTGCGAACTGCGAGCAGTTTGACGCTCACCAGGGCCCCAGGCCCTTGGCAAGGGAAATCTCTGGAAAGAGTTTCTAGGAAACGAAACCCAGGAGAAAAACAAACTTGCGGATCAAACTCTATCGGATCCAAGTGGGGAAAAACGTTGAGGAACACTGGATTGGTGTTGGGGATCCAATTCTGTCAGTGTCATGAAGGAAAAAACCTTCACTGCCTGCCAGCGCCATGAACCCATCGGATACATTTTAGCTCCAAAGATACTTTGTCCCCATGAACCCATTGTAACATTAACTGAAATTAGCCATCAACAATCTGGTTCGCAGAAACGTCAGGCAGGGTAACTTGCTGCTCCAGCTCAACCATGCATGCAAAGGGCCTGGTAGAAAACCCCAGAATATCGCCATCAACCATGTGCTTTGAAAATTCGTTTGCCCTCATCAACCCAATACTTCGAATCCACGTTTCGGCTCCTGAGCGCCGCCTCCAATGCCTCGCGGCACTCCGGCTGCGCTTCAATCCACAGCACAGGGCCCACGCCCAGCTCCTGAGGGGGGCGGGGGGTACAAATGGTGTTTGTTTGTTTGTTTGTTTGTTTGCTTGCTTGCTTGCTTGTTGGACGGGCCAATCTAAAGTGAGTTTCCTTTTGGTGTGGTCTCTATATTTTCCCTGGACGCAGCGTGCCCCGTTTCAGGGCCTGGTAGGTCCCTGCTTCCTGACCAACGTTGGCACCCACGTGAACCACGCCCTTCACGGGCACGGAAGACAGGACCTGCTTGTAGTCCTCAGATGGATCATGTGGACGGAGGGAAAGCATGAAATGGGAGGCTGCCGTTTGCCTCCGAGCAAGCCGTTTGAGGTAGGAGGCAGAGGGAAAACATAATTTCCTCTGGCAGGCTGCAAAAGTTTTGCAGCACAAACGTTGGAGACAATGGCCGTGGGCCATTATGAAGAAGTTAAATTTTGCATACCCATTCCAACCTCACAAGAGTCCAAAAGAATATGGCTTAGCACCTCCCAGCGTCCAGCTCAAAGGTCTCGCCCTCGACGACGAAGAACCGCAGCATCCGCAGGAAGCGCCCAAGCCCCCACCAGCCAATGAACCAGGGCGCCGCGAGGGCGAAGTACACCAGCTGCGCCGCCCGCCGGAGGAGGGGATTCTCGTAGGGCGGCCAGAAGACCTTGTAAATGATGCGCTCCCCCAGGCTGCCTTTCGCATGGCTGGGCAAGAAGGCCGACAACATGGCTCGCAGCTTTTGTTGAAAGGCTCTGATCCTCAACCTGCGGCATGCAAAAAAAAGAGGCGCGAGGCCGCTGATGAGGCGGCCTCCGGCTTCGGGCCCGCTGGAAAATCTGAGGCCGACATCCTCCATGAAGACAAGGCATCTTCCGAACCCATCACATCCTAGGCTCCAAGGCTCCCCCCCTCACCTGCTCGGGCTCCGCACCCCGCCGACGCTTGCGACGCAAACGCTTCCAGAGGGCGAAGACCTGTGGAGTGTATGGCAATGAATCTGAGATGAGCTAAGCATCCAAGCCATGAGGCTACTCTTGGAGTTGGTTGAGGAGACTAAAGCCAAACTAGCGGGATTGGCCATCGCTTTCACCCAGTGGCACTCCTCAAGAAAGGGCCATACACCTGCGGGCCTTCCATGCCAGCCTCTCAAGAAGCCAGAAAGGAAGCCAAGGCACGTCAGCAGGGGCTTCCAGCTCGTTGGGCGCCGCTCGGCCTTCGACACCTTGAACCTCTCCTTGGTCTTCGTTGGCAGCCTTGGCTTCTTTGGCCAACGCTTCTGCCTTCGCCTTGGCCTTTGCTCTAGCCTTGGCCTTGGCCTTTGCTTTAGCCTTGGCCTTGGCCTTTGCTTTAGCCTTGGCTTTCGCTTTTGTTTTGGCCTTGGCCTTGGCCTTCGCTTTTGCCTTTGCTTTGGGCTTGGGCTTGGCTGCGGGATCCTTGGCCTTCGCAGCGTCACATCGCTCACTGGCCTCAGCCACCTTGGCCGTGGCTGAAAGCTCAGCGTCGCAAATGGCTTTGACCGCCGCATCGTTGGCCTTCCTCTTGGCTCTGGCACGCTGCCTGACAAATCCATGCCGGCCCTCTTTCCAATCGTGGAAGTCCCTTTCCATTGATTGATGGTGGCATTCAAGCGGCGCCCTCGTTACGAAGTGCTACAAGGGCAGGTTGGACGGTTCATCAAAATCGTTGCTATTAGTACGCACGTGCTGATAACATTTCAGTGCACATGAGGTGTGAGGAAAACGAGTAGCTCATCATCCGCCCTTGCCTCCAAATGGGCATAGGCGCCCCAACCAAACACAAGGAGAGGGAGGGTCCCTTTGATTCCGATTCGTGCAACCCGAAAACAGCCTGCTTTGCAAACTGCACCTGCTCAAGCCTCTTACCCGGGCAGGAGGTTTGGCTTGGTGATTTCGAGGTTTTGGTGGTACCTTGCCATTTTGACTGCAAGACTGTTCGTGTGCAGTCTGCAGTGTCTGAACAGAACCAACGGAACCAAGGCAGCAAAACGCAAAACCATATAAGGGCATCTCAAACATCAGGAACCCCTTTTTGTCTTATTTTGAAGGGAACCAAAGACAGCCAGCCCGGACGGGTCCAAGCGGTCCTGGTTGATTGAGCCATACCCACCTGAGCCACGGTCCTGGTTTTTGCCCAGGAGGACATGAGAACTTCAGCTGGAAATACACCCTCACGGCATGTGTCTCTTGAGGTACCCCTTTCGCTTTTTGGTGGAAACCAAACGAAACACCGAAATCCTTCGAGGTCCGAATCCATATCTTGACACACACACACACAGCTGTCGGGAAACCAAAAATCCTTGGCACCACCCATAAACTACCCTCCTACTTCCACAGGGAGCCGGAGAAATGGCCGCAGCCCTCCGGCAGTGGCTGAAAACCGTTTTTTCTTGGCGCCTGCGCAAGAACTCCTGGTCCTTCTCGCGCTGCCGCAGCTCCAGCTCCTCGTCCTATGGGCACGCATGCGAGCGACCTCTTGCGCGAGCGGGGGGGAGATCCTTTGAAAAGGAAGCCGAGGGGGCAAGCCAAAAACAAACAAAAAACGGAGAAAAAAACCAGGGGAAACCAGCTGCCCATACGGAAAAAAAAACACCAGGGGAAACCCGCTGCCCCCCATGGGCAAAATCTGTGGATCATCGGGAACAGCTGCAACTCTCTCTCTCTCTCTCGCTCTCTCTGGGTCCTTGATCATTTCATCAAGGCTGCGGGGCTGGATCACTGCGACAAGGTTGTCAGACCTCACGTGGGCAAGCACCGGTTTTTTCACGGGTGAGGGATCAAAAAGAACTTATTAGGCATCAACAAAAACCTATTTCTGAAGATCAAAAAAACCGTATTAGGGATCAAACAAACTGATTCTCATTGATTTACTAATTAAAAATATGAAAAATCAGAGAACCAAAAACTTTTTTGGGATCAAGCAAAACTTATTCATTTCGTGGCAGGCAGAATTCTTTCGCAAGGTCAGGTACACATTTCGCGGCAGGCGCAGCAGGCGCAGCACTTTCGCAAGGTACCGTGCAGAGCTTGACGCAAGCGCAGCATTTTCGCAAGCAGTGAAGAAGAATATACAGAGATATAAACATTACTTCGCTAATTCAAGCATGGTTTTCAAGCGGCTTGGGGCTTTGCATTGAGAGCCTTATCCTGTCTGCGTGTCCAACTCCACTTGTCTGCGAGCCGATCTTGAGAACTCAAACATCGGTTCCGTTAACAAAACCCAAGCCCCTTCCAAAAAGGTACCCGACGGGGGATTAAACGAAGTTGCTTTTTCACAACCCAAAGCAACACAAAAGCATCGCCCTTTCCGAGCCTCAGGGCACACTCAAAACACGAAGGCACCAACATGAAATGTACACCCAACTGCGCGCCGGGCGGGACATTAAGCTGGCGGGATACTGCCGGGAGCCACTGGCGAATACTGGCGAGCCGCTCCGGCTTGATACTGGCCGCCTACTCGGCAGGATCCACCGGCAAGGGATACCCAGCGGGATACTCGGCGCGGGATCCACTGGCGAGCTACTCTGGTAAAATACTTGGCGGGATCCACTAGCGAGCTACTCTGGCGGGATACTCGGCGGGATCCACCGGCGAGCTACTCTAGGATACTCAGCAGAATACTCGGCGGGATCCACTGGCGTGGCGGGATCCACTGGCGAGCAACTCTTGGGATACTCAGCGGGGTAATTGCGAAATCCATTGGCGAGCAGCTCTGGCGGCGAGCAAATCTAACGAAATACTCGGCGAGACACGGGCGAGCGGCTCTGGCGGGATACTCGGCGGGATCCACTGGCGAGCTGCTCTGGCGGGATACTCGGCGGGATACTGGCGACTGGCGAGTATGTAGAAGCATCGCAAACGCGGCTTTCAACATAAGATCTAAAACCCCCTTCCTGTCGGGTGAGAGAGAGAGAGAGAGAGAGAGAGAGAGAGAGGGAGGGAGGGAGGGAGGGAGGGAGGGGAGGGAGGGAGGGAGGGAGGGAGGGAGGGAGAGAGAGAGAGAGAGAGAGGGAGAGAGCGAGAAAGAAGGAAAGAAAAGAAACAAAAAGAGTGATGATCGAGGAAGTGATGATTCAGCAAAGGGTGCGTTAAGCTCTGTAAAGCATTCTACAAATCAGCAGGGGGGTTGGGGGGAGGCGGCAGCCCCCCCGTGATGTTCGAAGAAATGATGATTCAACAAAGGGTGATGATCGAAGAAGCGATGATTCAGCAAGGGGCGCGTCAAGCTCTGTAAGCATTCTGACAATCAGCGGGGGGGTTGGGGGCGCGGCAGGCCCCCCCATGATGCTCGAAGAAGTGATGATTCAACAAAGGGTGATGATGATCAAAGAAGTGATGATTCAGCAAAGGGTGCGTTAATCACTGCAAACCTTCTACAAATCAGCAGGGGCCTGCCTGCCTGCCTGCCTGCCTGCCTGCCTGCCTGCCTGCCTGCCTGCCTGCCTGCCTGCCTGCCTTCCTTCCTTCCTTCCTTCCTTCCTTCCTTCCTTCCTTCCTTCCTTCCTTCCTTCCTTCCTTCCTTCCTTCCTTCCTTCCTTCCTTCCTTCCTTCCTTGTTTCCGTGTCCCCATAGGAATGAAAAGAAGTTGTTTCTTATCCCTAATAAGTTTTTGTTTGATCCCTAATAAGTCTTTTTGATCCCTAATATTTTGTTTGATGCCTATCCCGTTTTTCACAGCGCTTAGGACTTAGGACCTTAGAGGTTTTTAGAACCTTTCTGCTGCGAATGGGGAGTCCCCAGTGATTGGCCCTCCCTCCTACCCTCAGGCTGCCGGAAGTGGCAAGCAGAGAGCATGGGGCAAAAATATTCAGCCAAAATGACGTGTTCCGCGTGTGGAACCCATTTCACTGCGCAAGCCTCAAGCCCGCCTACAAATCCACCCAAAGAACTAGGAACCCAAGCACTGCTCAAGCAGCCAGCCTGAACTGAAGACTTCGTGACGGCTAAGCAAACTGTTTCGGCCACCGCTGACCAAAACGACAACTGCGACTACGACGACGACGGCAACCAAGGGTGAGGATCACGACAAGCAAGACCGCCAGCAGCAAAAGCGGCGAAAGCAGCGCGAGCGCCAGAACAAACACTAGCACAAGCACAACCACAGCCAACGGCCGCAACCACAAGACCCCAACACCAACAACCAACCACCACCAACCAAAGCCGAAGAACAAAACAAAGCAAAACAATCAACAAACGCAGAAACAAAAGCAACGTCAACAAAAACGGCCCGGGGGGGGGGGGACTCCCGCATCCAAGCAATTTTCGGTCCTCCATTTGTCAAGGCCCTTTCACTTTCAGGGAAACCAAAAGGAAGTCCATTTTTTGGCCCCTGAGTTGCAAGAGGCTCAAACCTTCGGCTGTCATAGAATTCCAATGAAACGAATGCACATATTATATGCGCTGCTGACATCAATTTTCCCATGATCTGGAGAGACCACAGTCTTCCCAAAGCACAACCGCACACAGAGAAAACGAACTGCCAAACTCGCAGTTCACCCAAAGCACCAACTGCCAAACTCCCCAAGCCCACGCACCACCCGTTTTGGCCGCCCGGCCCCCCCCCCCCCCGCTTCGGCCCCGGGGCCCTTGGAGGTCCCGGTGCTCCCCGCAGCTGCGGAGCTCCGCCCGCAGCTCCGCCAGCGCCTCCGCCTCGAGGCCTCGCGAGAGTTGTCAAGGGGTGGTGGTCCGTTTTTTTGGGTCGAAGGGACGCGAAAAACGGGGTTGGGGGTTGGGGGGGGGTTGTTTGCGAGGTGTGAGGTTTTTTTTGGGGGGGTTTTGGGGGCTTGGGGATGGGGGGTTTGGGGGGTTGGGGATGGGGGGTTTGGGGGGTTGGGGTCCTTTTTGGGGTAATCAAAGGCGCCCCAAGTGATGAGGGCAAAGGCATGACCCACACCAAACGGTTGGAATTGTGCCGACTTTCGCCCAGGGACCGTTTCCCAAGCTCGCCTGGCTTCGGAGCTGCGCTCGCCAACATCTCCTTGGCATGGCAAAACCTCAAGCCTCAACTTGCCTCCGGGCTCTTGCAGGGATTGAACGCGGGCTTGAGCTCCGTACAAAGCGGAACCACTACGCCCCCCCCCCTCCCCCAGTCTGCAAGGCCCGCCGGTTTTAGATACTCTCAGATACCCGGCCCCTAAACAGACAGGCTTGACCTAGGCCAGCTTCACACTTGAAAGCCAGAAAGCTTCCTTGCCAGGGCGCCCGCACTTGCTGCTGGGCAAAGTGCAAGGCATCCTCCTCCTGCCGTCGCCCGCCCGCATCGCACTTCACATGACCAAAAAAACACCGCCTGCTTGCCGAAGGCCAGTGGCTGCAGCAGCGCTCTTGGCACATCCGCGTCCTCACGGATAAACGCGAAGTGGCGCAACTTAACCCGTGGCCAGGTAAGGACATGACACAAGGGGCTGAATGATTACAAACATGATCGTCCTATGAGGTATTATGAATCAATGATGCCCCACAACCCGAATCTAACTAGTCAGACCCTTATGCGCACAATCCTGGACAGTGGCCTAGAGATTGATTCCAGTCATTCATGTGCCCTAAGTAGATTTGACAAGAGCTTGCGGAGAGAGATCGAAGACCGCAACAAAATCTGTCCGTTCCCCAGCTTCCCGTTGCAAAGAGTGAGATGTTAACACCTGAGGGCAACAAGAGTCTTCAAATCATAGCACATGACACCCAGGGCTCATCAAAGAACCCCTCTCCCCAAGATCTCTGCGGGTCCAGAGGGGCCGAAAGCTGCGCGCGCGCCGGGCGACCGGGGATCACCGCCAGGTTCACTTCGTGGACCTCCCGAAATTGCCACACTCACAGCTCACTGCTCGGGACTACGTAGGCAGCCGCGCCAGCAGCATGGACTTGTTCTCCAAGGTATTCCTGCCGTTGGTGTCCTACCAAAATTGGCCGGTACAGCGGCTTTCGGCTTTCCCCTGCGTGAAGTTGGCGTTTGGCCTACCATGTTGGTCGTCCAGCTCTGGTTTGAGACAAGCCCACTCCAACCACCGCACCCCCCTTCCGCATCCAGCGCTTTGGGCTCAGGCCTAGGTCTCACATCCAACCGCGGCCCTCAGCTCCTGTCGCGTGTAGAGCACCCAAAACCACCGCCCCCGATCGCCAGCGCCTGCGGCAAAACTGAGGCCGCGATCTTTTGTACCCGTTTCGGGTCAAACAGTCCCCCTGCAAAATCGGATCTCCCGAGATCCGAGTGCGTCACGCAGTCACGCACACGTGCGTGGATGGAGGGGACCTTTCCACTATGAGAGAACGACACGCCTGTTTACAGGATAGCGACACGTCTTTTGTTGTAAACCGAGAAAGTCCCCGTTTCAGACAAACCCAAGGCCTTGGCACGTGGGCTTCTCACCGCGCGGCCCGCAGCGGCAGGGCCAGCCGTTCAGGGCTTTGTCCAAGCCCACGAAGACGGCCTCCCAGGCGGACTCTTGGGCCGAAATGCGAAATAGGGCTTGTCCATACGGAACTTTGGAAGCTCCAAATTCTGAAGTTCCAAAAACCTTTCTGACTTTCTGGGATTTCCCAGTCAAGGACCTACATCATGTCAGAGGGAACTCGCCCTACAACCAATGCGATTGTACGAATCGACCTGGATCTGAATGAGATGCCCCGCCCCAAAGACGGGGCCTTTTGGATTGGTGTTGGAGCCTCTGAATGCGGCTCCCGAAGCCCACCCAAAGAACTCTCTCTGGGGATACTCCCCTGCAAATCAACATCCATGCTTTCTGGGCTCCATGTTGATTCGCAGGGGAAAGGGAAAAAAAGATGCTGGAAACTGCCAGCCACGCGAGAGATTCCTTTGGTCGCGTGCTTCCGGTTCCTTGCCAGAGCAAACCGCCGCTGTCAGATTCCAACCGCCTTTAGAAGTACAAAACCAGAGAGGGAAACTCGTTCTGCAATGGCCCAAGTTACAAAAAAGATGAAGTCTACTGAGCATTCTGAGCATGCTCCACAAACGAGGGGACCCTTTTCAATCCTTTTCAGCTTTCAAAGCGAGGCCAACACAAAATCGGGCGCTGTCCAGGTTTTTTGGTGAGGGTTCCACTTGGCCTGGTGAAAAAAGGAAGCCAAATGCTGGGTTTGGCCCAGGACCCCGGCATCCCCGGCATCCCCGGATCCCCTCGCCTGGTCGCCAGGCTGAGGCGGAGGACTGGTGACGGGCACCAGGGAATCCCCCGCCAGGCTGATGGTCCGCAAGGACTCCAAGTGGCCTCGCGGTCGGGTGACTGGCTGGGATGGATCCCTCGGCTGCCCTCGGCTTTTGGGAGCTTGGAGGCGTTGCGGGGGGAAGGCTTTCCCATGCATTTTTCTATCCATCAATCCAGCAACTGATGGAGACCTGACCTGCAAAAACAAACACCCCGGCTCAAGATGACCCAGAGCTGGTGCGTAAATCACCCGCCGGGTGGGCCCCGGCTGGACATGCAACCTGCGCTGGGGACCCTGGCGAACCAGCATGAAGCCATCTGTGTAGGGCGACGCCCCCAAGAATGCGCAGAGATCCTCCGTGCCAGCTATGGTGACCTGAGGTCGGCCTTTTTCATCCGGCCCTTGGGCAAGCCGAAGTAAGCCCGCAGGAAGGGCTGTCGCAAGAAACTGCGTGCCTCGCCATCGCTGCAGCCAAAGCACCAAGGAGCCTGGTCTCAGCGCGCAAAGGGTCTCCATCGCATCGTCGCAAAGCCATGGGTCCGTGGTGTCGTAGCCTTGCCAGCATCTGAGGCTGGTGCTGGGGCTGGAGTGGGGCACCCTCCTCATGGTAAAAAATGAGGTCCCACCAGGCACGAGGTCCCTGAAATAAATCTGACTCAATGAACTGAAAACTGAGGCTCGTGAAAGCTCAACATCGAGCATCTTGTTCTAACCACCTGCTTTCCTTGCAAAAATAATCTAGCATCTGAGGCTCTGACCAGTGTTCTCCCGCACCTCGGCCCGTCTCTCACAAAGAGGTTGATGTCCCAGCGGACTCCCAAAAAATCGCAGACACATAGCCCCCCCCTCCCGGATCCCGGTGGGCTTCCTTCCAAGCGGCACAGCCGTAGGTCTTGAGCCGGTGCTCCTAGCGTCGAATCAAATATATATAAAAATATATATATATATATATTAAAAAAAAAGGGAAAAAAAAAAAAAAAAAAAAAAAAAAAAAAAAAAAAAAAAAAAAAAAAAAAAAAAAAAAAAAAAAAAAAAAAAACGATCTCGACGGCGAGCCGCTCGAGACCGCAAGCACCCATGGGTCTCGCTCCGCTCGCAGACGTCAGCACCTGCTTTCAGCATGGTGAACTTTGACCCTAAGATAGGCCATTCGGCCCTCTTCGCCCTCCCCAGGCCAGGCGGCTCCTGGGAGGCGGCGTTGAGGCTCAGCTCCCGGTACACCTCCCCGGTGCTCTGCAGCCGCCCCAGCTGCTCCGCGTCCTTCTCGCTCACCTGCGCATCATGTTTCGGGCCTTCGGATGAATTTGGGTTGAAGCGGGTGGCGCTCTTTTCTTTCTGTTTTTTTTTTGGGGGGGGGTTGGCTTGAAGGGAAAACAGCAGGATTGGTTTGAAGCCGGTGGCTTTTGTTGGGGTTGAAGGGAAACCAGACAAAAATAAAGCTCTGGGGATTGCCACCCATAGTTCTTGTATAGTCGCTTTCTCGGGGACACAGGGGGCTGCACGGGTAACCATCTGAAAAGAGAGAGTCCCCAGGCTGAGATGCATCAAGTCTTCCAACCAGAACAGGGAAGGGATACTACGCTTGCTTGATACCCCTCCCCTTGCTTAATACCGCTCTGCTCATAGGCAAGCTTCTGGTCTCGGAACCCCGCTTCCCACGGCTTCAAGCTCTCGGGTCAGGTTCCAATCACCAACGGAGGGCCCCTTGCATCCAACACGGGTCGCTCGCAGGTTTTGCCTTGCACCGTTGCTTTGTGGGCGGCATGGGTTAAGCTTGGAGGCTCCACGGCACGGACGAGCAGTTGATCCTCCAATCTGGGGGCAAATGCACTCGAGTGGAAATCAATTAATGACAACAAAAACAAACAACCATTAGGAGCTTGAGGCCGGAAAAACACTCCCAAAACCAGCCCGCAAACAAAGGGTTACCAATCCTGAAGGCAAGCCCCCAGTTCTCCGACTACGAGACTTCTTCATATTATATATTGTAGCCTCACTGAATACGACGATCCGGTCAAAAACCAAAACGGCAAAAATAATTAGAACGTTTTGGGATGCCCGGCAAAAACGGCTGTGGCGCAGGCACCGGGGCCATTGTTGCCGCCAGCGACTCCTCGAATCCCACGCCTCAGAGCGCGCAATGCATGCCAGCTGCATCCGCGGCAGCGGCAGCGGGCGGCCGCAGGCGGAAAGTCCGGGGATGGCGTGAGTTGCGGGGTGAGTTGCAGGGAAGCCGGTTCAACTGTTGAAGGGAAGCCGAAGATTTTTGGCAAACATCTATCTTAGTGTCTTAGTCGTCTTCATCCACCTTGTGAAGCTGCACAGAAACCTCCACGGGGTGAACCGCCACGACGGAATCTGAAAGCTTTACCAGTTCCTGCGTGTAAAACAACTGCGAGCTAAAAAGAGTTTCAAATAATTTAGGGTGCTGCTACCAGCTAAAGCCATTGCAATGTCGTGTTGCCATGGTTGCTCCGACTGTTTGCTCTCGCTGCTTTATGAGGCTGTTTCTTTGAGCCACGTGCTCGAAACGATTGCGCAACTTGTAAGCTGCCTTGGCCCCGCGCAATGACACTGCCTTGAGCTCCGCAATTCTTGGGGAATCTGCGTAGACCCCACGAGCACCCCCACGGCCAGTTCAAGCTGTCCGCAGGGCCTGCGTGGATCAGAGCAAGGCCAACCAGCACCTTGGAGACGGCGCACGCGCAAGCGGCTTGGAAACTGCGCACCCGATGGCAGCTGACGCATCGGCCGCACATGGCCCAGAACGCCAGCGGAGCACAGCCCTGCAGGTGGAACCCTCCAACCCCTCGCTCCCTGCGAGGTTTCTGCGTGGCGTACTTTAGTAGCCGCAGCGGCTTTGCGCAAGCTCCCTTTGGGCCGCACAACGCACTCCCAGGGAGCGCAAAAGACCAAGGCTGGCCTTTGGCGCGCTCCCGACACTTCAAAACCAAGACCAAGGACCATCTACAAGCCTTTGGCCTCAGGCTCCAGTCAATTGGCACTTTGGCAGCAAATTGACTGAGTCGACAGGCTATGCGGCCGGGGACTCACCGGGTAGGAGGCACCTCTTGGGCTTGTGCAGACATGTCGGCCTGTCCTTCGGCCAGGGCAGCAGTTCCTTTTCGGCCCCCCGGCGCCAGCCGCGGCCAGGGCCCGAAGCCCCCAAAGCCCCCGCAGCCGGCGCTGGCGCAGCCGCCGCCGAAGCCGAAGCCGAAGCCGTCTCGTTCGCGGCAACCAGCTGGAGCACCTCCATCTGCGCGCCTGGAGATGCAAAAATGGCCCTCCCCGGCCTCACCCCCCCCCCCCCCAATCAAATCCTCTCAGGCCCGAGCCTGACGCGCCAGTGATGGAGGCACTGAAGAAAGTCCCGCCCGCCACCGTCTTCGAGAAGGCCGCCCAAGCCTTCCAGCCACTAACCAGCCACTGGAAAGAGGAGACCGGCTTAAAGCGGACTGCAAGCATTTGAAACAATCCAACATTTGTTTCACATGTCGAATGGTTCCAACATGCTGCACTGGCCAAAATTGTCGACCTTTCTGGCGGCAAAGACAGAAACTACCAGCCGCCCAAATGTGGAATCCGGCTCGGGAATGCCCTTTCAGCGCCCACCTGATCATCGATTACTCCTTTCGCATTCACTGGCACCCCTGTTCCGGCGTTCGTCACCGAGGGAGGGTACTTGTACCAGCCCGGCTGCTCGGTCCAGGCAGTGTCTGCCTAAAAAAAGATGGAATGATCGCGCATGGAATCCCGAAAGAGCTCTAGCAGCCCTCCATGAGCCCAGTGCCACGTAAAAATCACCCAACCTCTTGTATCAAAACCTGTGAAACAGAGGACAAAAACAAACCTTAAGCTCTTGACTCTCGCGATTGATTTCAAATCCACGCTGCGTACTGCCAGTAGGTCGTTGCGTTGACCCCGAGGTCACATGCCATAGCAAGCCGGTCCGCCATCTTCTGGGCTGTGTCCTCCGGTGTTGGAAACAAAAAAAAACGCAAATGGCCCCGCGGGGCCATCAGAACTCGGCTTTGTTTGCGCGGGCGTCCTCCCAGTACTCGCTGAGAAAGACGGGGGCACCCCCCAGCTTCGTGGCATTCTTCTTGGCCAGCGCGATGAGCTCTTCAAAGCTGACCTGGGGGCTCGCGGCCATCCGCCCCGTCGGCCACATCGGCCGGATGAATTTAAACCCCTGGTTGATTTTCATCGAAAGGTGTCCCCTTTTAGTGGGGATTCATCACTTTTGGAGGGAACACCCCCCTCATAATGGCCCCGCAAGAACCTCGGTGAGCTAGGCCAAGGACGTTTGCCGGCGGGGAATAGTAATGGAAGGATAGGATCAGGCGGTTGCGCTCGGCATAGGACTGAAAGCGCTTCATCGTGGAGCTGGAGGCGCCTGGCCCGGAACGAGAAAACCTGAGTCGCCGCAAGCGATGGCTCAAAAACCCAAGGTCTATACATGCCAGCGACTCAAACAAGCAGTCTATGTGAAGACCACTGGCCTATACATGACAGCAGCTTCACAGCGCAGCTCTCTCCTGGCGCGCGGGATAACATCAGCAACAGCACGTCGGAAATGAGAAAATGCCAGTTCCAAGCGCCGGTCCTTCCACCGTGCTGCTCCAGTTGTCGATGACAATGGGGCATTTGATAGACGGATCTTCGTCAAGAGCCTGCGGCAACCATTTGCGCCCTAGACCCATGGCGACAATTCTTCAGATGGGGGCCTGTCGTCTGGAAGGAATGCTGCACAAAGGTAGGCTCCAAACAATGAGAGAAACGCATTGCGGGCCAAGCGTGTGGCGGATGAGATCAGTTTGTGCATTCAATGGCGGAGGGCTGGGCGACTGAAGCATACGGGGCTGTTTTTTTTGAAGGAGAGGCACGTGAACTGAAGCTTGGCCCAGGAACAACGGCCACACTCTGAAGTTCCACCATTCTACCAAATTCTACCACGCCAGGATGCGACCCCAAGTCGCCTCGAGAACATCTCCTTGAAATGTCAGAATCTGCCGCCACGTGCTCAAACAGGTGCAAAGGTTGGGCAAGCCACCAAGCAAGGGCTCGTTCATCAGCTCCAGCGCAATCACATTCTCGTACCTGCGCCGCAGTTGAATGCACTGAGCCAACACCTCGCACCTGCGCACCCCCACGATGCCTCCTCAAGAGCAAAGGCTTAAAAACCTGAAGACGGGAATGCAGACATTGCCTTTCCGGTCGGCGCCAAGGCACCGGTCCCACACCGTACACAGGTACTTGGCCAGCGTCAGGTATGGCTCGAAAAAGACCTGACAGGTCGCGTCCCGAGCAAGCAGCCCGTGCCTGAGAAGAAGCAGTGAGGCGTGTAAACATCAGAAAACTTAGCTGCCCCGCCCTTTCTGCACTCCCACTGTGCAGATCTCCGATCGCGCCTCTCGGTCCGCCTTGTTGCGCCCGGAGTTGTAGATCCGCGGCGCGCAGTTTTGGACTTGTGCCGTGGTGATTAAAGCGCTCCAGCGGTCGTCAGAGTTGTTGGTGCGCGCGCTCGCGTTGCCCACGTTGAAGAAGCCCGGGTTCCCATCCCCGCCCACAGAATACCTTGTCTTTTCTGTCGAAACACCGCAAAACAAAAGAAACAAAACGAGTGTTTCTGGTAGCACGGGCAGCCCGTCAACAGAACGTTCTTCAGCAAAAAAGTCACAGGGATCAGCATGAATGAAGATGGCGTCGGGCCCACCGGATGTGGCTCATTGTAAACTCCCATCGGCCAGCCCAAGGGCCACAAAACGGGCAGCCTTCACGTTTGCTAAGGACAACAGCGGCGTCAAAAAAAGCTTCTCCTCCTAAAAAATCCTTGAAAAAGGCTTCCGTGAAACCCCGACAGCTTCCAGAATCCATCCAAACGTTCCAGTCGCCCACCCAAGAACCCCTTGTTTGGCTGGAGTCCCCTGGCTCTGCCGAAGATGCGGCTGCCAGGGTTCCGGGTCCCCGGCCCAGGTCGTTATGTCCAGGTTCCTTGCCGGACGCGTGGGCGCAAAAACGGGGGCATGTGGAGATGTTGATATCCTCCAGACTTCGCATACCCCATCCCTCTTGGTGCATTGGACGTGGTTTGTTTCGCCAGCTTCCCGCTTGGTGCCTTGGTTTGGACGTTCTGGTTGGTACTTTTCCCATTTGGCAAAGGGAACTGGACCAATCCCTGAAAAAATGTGAACATCGTGTCGGAGGATTCCCCAAGAAATAACGGGCAAGATTTAGGATAGGAGGGGAGCTGGAATGCAACCAAGGCTCTCTAAAGGTGAACCTGTTTCACAAAAACCGCCGGCACTGCACATTTGGTCACCTCCCACCTGTAAAAAACAAACAGCAGGCCCACCAAACACCACACTGATGGAATTGCGCTTCTCCAAACGGTTCGAAGGTGAAACGCCGAGGCGCAAGCACTTGGCCAAGCAGTTGGGCAGCCCGCAGAAGGGCTGCAGGGCATGGCTGGAGTTGGCCACGTAGGGGGTGCGGCAGCTCTCTGGGCAGCAGGACCAGCAGCTGGAGGAGAAACAGCAGCAGCAGCAGCACTGCTCCTCGCCAGGCAGAGGGGGGGGCTGTGGCCCTCGGATCCCCCGCTAAAAGTCCAACCTTTAGAGGGTTAAATGGAAACTACCAAACACTAAACAGCTGA